AGAGAGAGAGAGAGAGAGAGAGAGAGAGAGAAAGAAATCATCGCTCTATGTGCACCAACGTATTTTACAAAATAATGTAATATGTTTGCCATAAAAGGAGCTAACGGCAAATGTACTTTGTATGCAACTATTGTGGATTTGAGAGATATACATATATAATTTTTTTTTTTTATCCAACAACGTGAAAAGAAGACGAATGGAAAGTAGAAAAAGATACTCGTTCCCACGAAACGCCCGACTAAACGCGAGTGCAATCTACGACTAAAATTAAGAAAGAAGAAACAGAAATACTCTAGCTACTTAATAATTCTCCGAGATGCAACAACAGGCGAGCAAAGCGTATACCGTCGTTGAAACGTCTGACGTAAACGACGTCGAGAAACTTAACGAGAAGGTTCGTTTCACTCGTCGTTGCCAAACCAGGGGCTTGTGGATTCCAATTTCCGTATATACCTGGTACATCCTTATCAACTGACTTAATTAATTCACGCCTTTGCTATATATATTCGCAAGTGCACCCTCCTCTTCACTGAATTTCGTCGTAAGACTTAAGAAGAGGGATTTGTCCACGCTATATTCACATCAATCGCTTCTTTTGGTCCTGTTTTCGGTAACGAATAAAAGAATTATTTACCATTGTTTACCACCTCGTTCGTTAAATCACAACGAGTTGAATCTCACTTTTCAAAAGGTGCGTCAGTTACTCACCTATAAAAGCGAATTAACGAATTGTTCAAAATGTAACTTCCTCGGTGTTCTCGGCATCTGATGACAATTCTTGACGTAATATCTCCATACAGGACTTTGGAATAAGGGTACCGACTATTTTTAAACCTTCATCTGTAACGAAAGAATAAAAAAGACGCTTGCAACAACAACTTCTGTTTCGTGTCTACCATGTGATTTTTATTATACTTGTTGCTTCAAATTATCATTCTCATCATCGTGTTTTGTCATTACAATTTTCGTAAAACTTACCAGTTCGTAAGCGTACGACTTGCATCTTGGAGTTGTGTGCGGAACGAGTGGCAAGAATGCTTTCGACTCGGCTCCAAACGCTCAGTACCGAGCCTGACAATACGTTGTAGGAACGCCTTCGGAGTCCAACCTCACAATCCATACCAAGAGTCGCGTTTTTACAATTGCCGCGCCAGTAAGCGTGCGAACACGTATCTACAGACGCTTCGTACTGCTGAGACCAGTGTGGCTCCGCTTCGTCCGAAGACACCTTCTTATACTTTTTCTCTAATTCACCTAGAGACTCTTGTCTCAATTGTAAGCCTGTATTGGGTCTTCCAACAAAAGTACACGATCATTTTAAATTATCAAGGGTAATAATCATTGTTCTTATATTTAACGTGAAGAAGGTATCATACCTGTAAACCATGTACAGCTGATCCTTTTTACTCTCGGATTTCTTCTTGCCGGTATCTACTACAACAGCAAGAATCGCGGTTTGTTTCCCATTGCGGATCTGATGGCTCAAGTAGAATCCTTCTTTCGACCCCGTCAATTCGGAGCACTTGTCCATTGCTTCTGCCCAATTCATTCCACGTTCAACGTGGACAACGTGAAGCTCGGTGGGCGCCTTGCCGGTGGCGTGCTTTCGCAGAAAACGATACAATCTAACTCTCTTCACATTCTCGCCGGATGTGCCGAGATCGAGGATACCCATGTCGAAACGGCCGGTCTTCTTCGCTTGCGTGACAATCGCTGTCAAGGTGTCGGTGAAGTATTTGAACAGCCGATTCTGTAGATCGACCGGCATACCGAGAATACGATTCAAGAACTTCGACATGTTGTTGTAGTCTTTGTCCAACGTGAGCAAGCCGGGCGTGCTCTCGCTGTTGCAGATCAAACCAACGCCAACCAGTGCGTCAGCCACATCCTTGAAGAAGTCTCCGTGATAATCCTGCGGCGGTGGTACGAGCGGAGGTTCGTACCTGGTGTTTCATGTACAAATAAGTAAATTCGGTAAGTCACGTTGGACGCACGATAGTATTAATATATAATGATGTATTATTTTATATATAATATAAAACGTGTTGCCAACACGTTTATGTTATAAAAAGGCATACGAACTTCATTATAGTTCTCATTGTCGCCTCGAGCGCTGCACGTCCGTATTTGTTATCGATATTGAACTGGGAAAAATCTCTGGTTTCTGTGGCCCTTCGATCACCGTGCGTCAGAGCTCCAAGACTCTCCAAACGTTTCGCAACGATGGACGCGAATCGTCGTTCGCCAGCCAAATCTGAGATGAGAAATATGTACTCCGGGGCATTCACTTGATTGGAACGGTGCGTCCGTCCGAACTGCTGTATCGCTCTGTCCGCGCTCCACGGTAATTCCAGAGTGATGTGCACTCTTCGCATCTGGTTCCTCGCTCGTCTATCACTTTGCAGTGATATACCACTGCTGGCTGCTTCCGAGATAATGGCCACCGTTTTCTCACCATCCATAAACCTATTACGATCGATTAATTTGGTGCTGTTTTTTGCAACGTACGTTGGAAAACAAACTGATCGTATACCTCTGTTTTTCGGTCAAATTAAGCGTTTCTAATGGTACGTCCACCTCGGATCTCGATTCATACTGAATAGTACCATCTTCCGTTTGAACAACTCGCCCTTTTCTACCGGTCATCTCAGCCACATTTTCCGGCCCGCCAAACTCGTCGATCAATTGATCCAATGTATTCGGCGGCAATCGTTCACCCAAATCCTCGATTTGTGATAACAATTCCTTCTTCATGGTATAAGCACGCTCTATGGCATCTCTCGATGGCGCACGATTACGCGTTGCTCCAGCACCCATGGGTCCTGCACAATCTATCAATGTATCATCGCTATATTTACATCAATACTTACGGAAATATCTCTGAGAACGTGGAATATATACCAGTTCGTTTTTTCACTGGTTTCTTTTGCTTCTTAGCGCCCTTTTTCCTTCGTCTTCCGTCGCCTGAATCTACAATGTGAACGCAAAATTAATAGAACACTTCAACCAAATTGACGTAATTCCCAATTAATATCCTTATCTCGAAAAGTGACTCACAACAATTTGAACAAAGTATGAAGTTGGTGTTGTTAAGTTTTTAATTTTCAAGTATTTCACTTTAGCTTTGTTCACTCTGGAGGAATAAATTGCCATTTATTTCCAAAATCAATAAACGTATTGATATTTACACTTTGCAATTAGAAGCTCTAAATGCTAACTGAACGTTGATAATGTTAGAAAAACCTACCAGAGTCTGATTCACTGTTGTAATTGTAAGAAGAATCAGAAGTGATGTTACTCTCCTCGTCGGTCCTGTGGTCATCCTCGCTCTCGCTACCGCTCTGTTTGTATTCCGAGCCGGAACTATGCCCACCGTTCCTCTCGTCGTCGGTGAAATCGTCGTCAGACGGAAACGTACGAACTCTCTTCGAGGCCCGTTGAGCCGCCTGTCGTATCGGTTTTCTCTTGCTTCCGCTCGCAGAACCACCAGCACCGTCGATGTCGTCGAGATCCTCTAGTCTCTGCATCTTCGACGGCTCGATGCCGAGAACCCGGTGTATGTGATTGCGATCCGACGCTGGAAAGTGTTTCTCGACCAACGTCTGAAGCACTCCTCTAAAATAAACACGAATTCATATAGGGACGAATCGGTATTTCTCCTTCCTTTCTGTTTTTATTTTATTAAATTATTGAAACCGAATGATGGATTTTTACTTCGCAGTGGAAACGAAATCGCTCAATTCACCGTCGTCGCGTTCCAACTGTTCTAACGTGCGTGCCTCGCCGGTTGATTGCAGACCGATGACCACGCATTTCCCGCACTTCACGGCCTCCCGTGCCACTGCCACGGCGTGTTTCACCTTAGCCGCGATGCACAGGTACTTGAAGAAACGTTGATGAGACGACCAGAATTGCCCCCACATGGTTTTCTTCATACGATTCTCGGCGTCCAACAACTCCGCCGCCTCTTGAAACCTTTGCATTGCCTCGACCCACTGATACAAGATTCACAGTTATCGATCGACTCGACGTTGAATTTTTCTGTTTCAATACTCACGAGTTGCACGGAACAGTCGTAGATCTCGGTGAATTCTTTGGATAACGGTACTTCCTCTATTTTGAAAGCTACGCCGTGAAAACTCAGCTGCCGCGCGATGTACATGCCTCGTAGCTTCATGTCCATCGCTACGATCTCCATTGCGCCGACTCCCCGCTTCTCCACGGCGGTGATGAAGTCGTTGAATTCGGGGAATGGCGTTCCTTCGCCCCACATGCCTAATCGGACCATATACGCCATGTTACGTGGCTCGGACGCACCCGTGGCACTGGCGTAAACTACTCTAGCTTTGGGAAGCTTGTTCTGCAACTCCAACACCGTCAAACCTAGAATACATTTGGAATTTTATATTTTACGTTATAAATACGCCACGCAATTTACACGTAATTTATAACACGTGAATGACGTGTTTAATATACCAACCAGTTTTGGTAGGCTTTGAGCTTCCTGTAGGGCACAAATTCTTCGCCCGATGACACTCGTCGAATATGATCAATCCATCGAAATCCTCGCCGCACCACTGCAAAAGCTGCTTCAACCGACTCTTGTATTTTCCACCGCTCTGAGAGGATTCTCCGATTAGAGCTGAATACGTACTGAATATTACCCCTTTCTTCACGTTGCCGTTTTGCGCCGACGAGATCTTCGCGTACTTGAATTTATTCAACGCATGAACCTGAAACACACACAATTTGTATTTTCCGCTTAATGCTGGAATATTTTCAATTTAAACAATAAATACCTCGATTTTCGACGCGCCAATATCGTTCAAATCGCGCTCTGCGTCGTACTTGAGATCATTGGATACGGAGACCCAGATAGCGCGTTTCCTTCCTTTCAAGTAATTCTCGAATATAATTCCGGCTATGGTTCGTCCTTTACCGACTCCTGCACCATCGCCGATAAGGAAACCAGCGCGTGTACCGTCCGGCAAGAGGTGTTCATGTTGTTGAGACGCGTACGTTATTGACTCAAGTTGCAGAGCGGATAAAGCTCCAGTTCGTATCGTTTCTTCTGGTATCGAAACCTTGTACCAAACGTCCGTTGGCTCGACGCTAGACAACGATGCGGTTTCCACGACTGGATCCGGATGTTTTCGACCGAGTTTAACTTTAACGTTAACATTACATTATTAATCTGAGTTACCTAACAAGTCAATATCGACGTATGATTGAATTTTGAAAATAAAATTAGACATACGTTTGGTCGGCATGTAATCGGCGTACGTTTCTGCGACACCCATATCATCGTCATCCACTTCTTCCTCTTCTGGTATATTTGGCTGCATATTCATCTTCGCAGGATCTCCAGCATTCATCCATAATTGAGACATAGCTTTGCCTGCAATAACATTTCACAAATTAGTATATCATAAAATTATAATTTTATTACATATAGTAATTTTTTAATTATTAGTTATTCGTATATTATATTATATTATTATATTATAGTTACTGAACGATATTAAATGATTCAAATTAGTATTATTACAAACATAATTACATGCTTCAATAATGTTATGACATTATGCGATGTCTTCAAGACATTAAAAACGTAAACAATACCTGATAGACCAGCTGGCCAGTTTGGATTTAAACCATTTTGGTTTAACAACTGAACCAATGGATTGACTCCCATATTCATTCCTGGCATGCCCATAAAACCACTCATTAAGCTCATATCCATACCTGGAAAATAATATTCATAAGTATTCAGCCACTCACTTAATGTTTTATTTAATAATATCATTTAAAATAATTGCAAACGATACAATGGTTAATTAGATTTAAATTAATAATGTTAACATCATAGTATAAAATTTACGAGAATATGCAAATACAAAAATTAATTACAAAAGCAATTATGTTATTACAAAAATAATAATGTATGTGCATAACTGATTTATACATACATTGCACATGTATTTGGTTTTTACTTGATTTTTTGCAAATAAGAATGAACTCTTCTGATTGCATACATACTGTATACACATATGTATATACGTTGTAAAATTTTATGAATTAATAAAACATACTTTGTACTTACTTGGTGGAAAGAAGGCCGCAGGATTGAAACCTGCAAGCGTTGCCAAACCTGGTGGAAAATATGGTCCACCGGCAGCAGCCAATTGGCCTAATTGTCCTAAATGGTTTGCATTAACAAAACCAGGTGGCGTACCCTGTGATCCTCCTACACGTACCATTTCATAACCTGGTGCCGCTGTCTTAGTCACTAATCCACCAGGAATTTTGTTTCCAATCTTCTGATTCATCACTGTAAAAGAAATATGATTTCAAATACAATTTTTTTTTAGATTCATTACATTGTTTTATTGTACTGATTCTTACTGTTTAAACCTCCCTGCCCTTTAGCCATAGCATTAGATGGAGCATCTGCAGGCTTTTCGTCCTTGATGTTTGCAATCCCTGTGGCAGTGGCAAGGTCTTTTCCACCACCTGATGAAAATGATTATGCATTAGATATGATAGTTCTTTGTATTTAGAAATCAAATTACCTACCAGGTACACCCATGTTGTCGGGATCTTCATCTTCATCGCTGCTGCTATCCTCATTTATTGCATCCTTATCCCTTTTGGTTGACTGAGAAAAAATTTGTTTTATGGATAATATTATTATTTTAAAGACATTATTTATAAATTATAGATACTATCAAATTTACAACAAAACAAGTATGCAAGTATGTGTTAAATCTAAAACGCCACTGTGCGTGGGCATCTTTTCATGTATTTCTTCATATCATTATGCACATCCATGGATTTGTCATCAAAAAAAGGAATGCAAGCAACGATGAAGCAAATGATATCAAGTTATAAAAAAACACCTGCAACATTACTTTCTGATGGTACCAGAGTTTCTGGTTACTGTAGTTCATATTTTGTGGAAAGAGAATTCAAAAAGTTAGGAGAGAAAGAAGAGACACTATTGGTGAGCTTACTGGGACACAAAAAAAGAAAAAAATGGGAGGGAGAATAACGCGCGCGAATCGTACAAAACAACGATTAACAAAGATTCGCTGAACGATGAACACCCGCGGCGAGCAGGTGCCTGAACAAAAAGAGGAAATAAGTCGTATAAACAAAAGCTCACCATGTCAGCAGATCCTTTCGTAACCTTCTCAATTATCGGAGAGCCAAAGTGAACGGAGGGCGTCTCTAGACGGGAGCCCTCGACGGGCGAGCGATCGTCCTCGCCGTACGCGGTTGGTAGATACTGGCTGAAGTGACAGGACGCACGGAACACGACAACTTCTCTTTTTTTTTTCCTTGCTACAGGGAGCAACCTCTGGCCAGTGCCTCGTCAGACACACTGCATCACTCAGTGACGACTTCTCAGCCAGTGGATCGCTCGAGCTGCGAGATGAACGACGTTTAGAGCTTACCGTGCAGTTGTGGTCGCGGTGGTATTCGCGCGGCCTAAGCCGAGCGTACGATTGAAGCGCGTTCGACAGACACGGCTGTCGCCATCTTGGCATTCGCCCGGCCCACCGCGATGCAAATACAAAAACACACGCGCTCTCGACTATGGCCGCCGCTTGCGGACTACGACTGGCGCGACGTTGCCAGTTTGCGTCGATATAAGGGGACGTTCTCAGGAACGCGTTAAACTTGGAGAAAAAAAAAAATTGCCCACGCTCCTTCCTCCGAGGAGAAAACGATCGGTAGAAATTGTTTCACGATCCCGACAGAAATATTCGAAGTTAGTTGAGAGGCGTGACGAGAAGAAAAGAAAAGAGAGATGAGAGTCAAGGTGTGTCTAGCGGGAAAACGACCGGGAAATTCCGACATCTATCGACTGTTTCGTAACTACATTTTTCATGACGACGACGCATGCAAATTTAAAGCGTGCAGCGAGACGAGCAAAGGTGTCGGCGCGTCAACGACGTATGAACAATATCAACGAGACGCGTTTGGACGTTGGCACGTGGTACTCGAGAGTAGAACAGTTCGCAACGTTATCTTTTTTTTTTTCTCCGACAAATGCCTGACAGAAAATCTGAATTGGCGTTAGTACCGTCCGAACAAATAGAGTTGGCCGATATTTGGCGGCTCTTCTTTGCAGCAGGGACCGCAGACTGCCACGGCGAAGAACACGGACGACACGAGACGGCGGGCCTGTTGACACGCGTTGGAACGGAGCTGACCGGTTGAGAGAGCTTCTGACGGATAGTTTATTCGAACACGTGTACTCTGAAGTCACAGCGAACGCGTAAACAAACCATGGACACCGCGTGTCATGTGTTCGTGAGCGCGTGGCCCCGCGGTGCACTTAAATGAGTACGAACCCGGCGGACGACGCTTGGCAACGCCGCACGGTGGCGCCGCGCTGATCGTTAGTCGATTTAAAGTATCCGCGGTAAAAAGAAAAGAATACGACGGCCAACTCCGCGTAGAAACATCAAATAACCGAGTTTCCGACGGATCTCGAGTCTCTCGAGGAAACTGGACGATCTCGAGCGGACCTCTCGCCAAAATAATACACACCCGCCTGGTATTCAACGATCGCTCGCCTAAATCCGTCTAAAAAATAATCGTCGTTCTAATACGATCGATCCGAGCTTCGCGCCGCTCACGTCGCCATCTGGCGGCCGACTCCCGGAAACCACGCGCACCGTTCGAAGACGATTTGATTTTCTCAATTCTACGGGCATTGAAACGACTGATGCACTCTCACGACGATCGTCGTGTATGAACAGGGATCAGATGAAATAATGGAAACAAACACGTTTAATTAGAACGTTCTTTGTTGACTCTTTGAGTCCTATGAACGCGTATGTGCGTCTGACGAGAATCATCGCTGTAGACCATATATGGACGCACGTACACGTTTGTCAATTTTTTCTTTTTTTTTTTCTCTTTTTTTTCGATGTTACACGTACTGTAGTGACAATTATTGTTATTGGAAATGTAGTCTTGTCATGCCCGAATGAATTATTAAGTTTAGCGGATTTAAGTATATGATTCAAATTTCTTTTTTTAAA